CCCCGCACCGACGTTGTAAAGCTCGTTTTGGACATGACAACTTGTACTTCTCATTGTTGCAACAGGTCCACCTGTATCCTTAAACAACTGGTGGGAAAAAAACTTTTCTAAAGAGAGTTGCAAATAAAGCAAGATCCTGCCTCCCTGCAGTTCATGCTGGGCCCACCTCACCCCCTCTCTACCCTCACACCCTGCTCCTAAGCTGGGAAGCAGAATGAGAAAGTGACTCCTGGCGTAGTTACATTGTTTAATTGGAGGAACTGAGGATGCTGCCATGTGATGGGGGATAAAGAGTCTGAGGACGTCCAGAAGGAGAGACTGACTTCTCACTTCCAAATGGACAAACAACACATGGTGATTTGCTCTGTCCTCCCAGAGTCAGAAAATCTCCAGGGATTTACAAGGACAGAAAGAAGTTCCCTAGACCCAATCCTACCCCACGTTCCGTTTGCTTCATACAACAGTGATGATGATAACTCGCTAGAGCATCTTCTAGGATCTGCCCCAAAGGCCTCCCACCCAGGCCAAGGGGTTCCAACATCAGCTACATAGGAACTATGTATCCACTCCCTCTCCTTCCTCCAGGCCAAGTAGAGGAGACAAGGAAAGGGAGACAGGAATCCCACAGGCAGACACCACTCAATCAAGACACAGTCTGCCAAGGGATAGGCTCAGGCAAAGCTCTAAATCAATCACTCATTTTCACAAATGACAGCATTCTGGACATCATCAAGTAAATGGTACAACATAGGATTCATAATTGCTGAAATAAATGACTGAGCACCATCTTCTCAATCTGACATACTCTCATCTTTCATTCATTCACTCCTACCACAAATGCTTACCAAAGATTGATTCCACACGTTTCTAAATTTAATCACTAGTAGGTAACTAAGCTATGATCCTTGCCCTAAAGTTACTAGGGAAAGTAAGGAAAGAATAGATGTGTATCTACCATAAGGCATTATGTGAATAGTTCTATAACAGGAGTATAAAGTACCAAAGGTATCAGGTCAAAAGTCTAAACTATTCCATGAAGTGCTTTCAGATAGCTTTCGCTGATCCATTTAGATAGGGCTTTCTCATGCTTGCCTTTCCGGTGAGTGAGGCCCTTCATATCTCCTGTTTAAATACTCTTATAGGCTGAGGACATTCCAAAGGGGTAGCTTGGGATGAGGCCTGGGAGAAGACAACAAGATACTCATGGCCTCGTTCGGAAAGTTGTGATGGGTAATCCAGCAGAGATGATAAGTAGAGATGAAATAAATTATGGACATTTCCCTTCAAATAGGATCTTACCCATAAAGAACAAGATGGCCATGTCTTGTGGGGAACTGAGACGCCCTAATAGCTATGTAAAACCTATGATTAAGCTACAGATTTTAGCCAACTATTAGAATTAATTAGCGTTTAGTTACACATTAGCAGAAGGCAACTAATTCCACATGCTTCCTGGTTTCCTTACAAACTTTGCAATGAATCCATGACTCACTTACATAATTTGACAGGAATTTTAATAAAAATCTCTATCATTATTAGAGCAATGCATAATGAATATGAAAAATTCAGAAAGCATAGCAAAGTTGATTTTTTAAGTTCATTTATATCCTGATAAATACTTAATATTCTGGCATATTTCCATGTAATTTCTGTCTGATTTAGTAATGATTTGAAATTAATATACCCCATAAGCCAACTGACTTTAAAAAAATCACCAGTAAATTAGAATCTAAATTGCCAACTATAATCTCTTTCAATTATGAACAAGTTTTTATCTTTTTTTAAAGTTTTTATCTTCATGATTGTAAATGAAGCAATGGATTCCGTTTTAAAAAGGTTAAATTCAGTGGAGGAAAATGGCTTACTGGGTCATTTTATGATTGAATAGAAGTCAGCAGTACTCACTTTCCTATTTATCTTTCCAGTATTCTACTAGCAGGAATTAACATTTTATTGAACCCTCCCTTAAGATATAAACTCCTTTAAATATAGATTTCCTTGGTCATATAAGCAAGCATGTGTAATTGTAGTAAACACACACATGCACGCATATACACACAAAACTTTGTGAGCAATATTTTCTTGACAAACATACAATTACTATCATTTATCAAGATACATAACAATGATTTATTTTCCTTTACATTCTTCCATAACAGACATGCTTTTCAATGATATCTACAACAAAAAGTATTGACTTACCTGATTAAGAAATTATGTAGTCCAACATCAAAATGCCTATTCAAAGGAGACAAAAAAGTCTATGAATAAAACATATTTACAGTAATAAAGGACTTGTACATATAATTTGTATCATGAAAAACAGATTTTCTATGACAGCTGTCCTCAAGGTATGCTGCAGAAGTAGCAGCAATGGCATTATTGCTGGAAATACAAGTGTTCAGGCCTCTACCTCAGGCAAATACATTCAGAAATCAGAGCTAGAGTCCAGCAATTCAACAAGCTCTTTGGTTGATTCTAGTGAGCACCACAGCTCTTATAGCAAAGGGGTGTTGAAGCAAGTCTAGACTCCCTTTCTGGAAACAAAGGTCATACAGGTAGATTTCCAGATGCCTTCCACTCTCTCCATAGGTGAGTCCCTAAATAAGTTAGTTATCCTGCCAGGATATAAGACACAGGAATTCACCGTGGAGTGAAGTCCACCAATTCATGCCTTGACCGTTGCTAGCTTCTGGCTTTACTCCTGTTCCTTCTCTGAGCTACACGGCATGAATGGCGCCTCATCCTATTTGACAGTGGTGACTGCTGTTATTAAAATATGATTCCCATGGGACACTTTCAAATGATAAGATTCTTTTTTTAATTTATTTTTTTTATTTTTAGTAAGTTTTTTTTATTGTGAAAATACCGTACAGAGAAGTTACAATTACATGAGCAAGGCAATGCGTACATTTCTTTTCAAGCATTGTTGCCTCCTCCTTTGTTTTTCCCCTACCATCCCGGCCCTCCCATCTCCATGACTATGCTCCCTCCCTCGACCCCCCTCCCCCGGCCCTGTTTCAACATAGCATCTCGTACATCTCATTGTTGCAATGGGTCTACCTGTATCCCTAGATAAGATTCTTTTATGTACTAATTTGCCTATTTACAGATCATAGGCCCTCCTAGGGGAGAATAGAAAAACTCAAAGCTAAAATACGTCATTCACCACATCACTTAACCAAGATGATTAGAAAACGCAGGGGAAAAAATGGTATTCAAGATATACAAACTCCATTTATTTTTAAATCTTCTGCACAAAGCTATTCACTAAAGAAAGCTCTACGGGGAATAGCTGACTTGTTTCGTTTGATTTTACATTATCCTGGATGAGATGCAAAGTCTTCTTACAATTGTATTAGTACCGAATTTTTTAAAATTCTCAACCCAAACCAAAAACACTTTACTCAGTTATGTAAGTAAAAATCCATACCACAGGTATCAAGTGGATATTAGTAATAAGAGAATTAATGGGTGCAGATTAAAACAGATTTTTGCCAGGTGCCAGAGGCTCACGCCTGTAATCCTAGCTACTTAGGAAGCTGAGATCTGAGGATCGAGGTTCAAAACCAACCCAGGTAGGAAAGTCCATGATATTCTCATTTCCAATTAACCACCAATAAGACAGACGTGGAGCTGTGGTTCAAATGGTAGAATGCTAGCTTTAAGGGGAAAAAGCTACGGGAGAGTGCCCAGGTCCTGAGTACCAGCACACATATACAAAAACTTATATATTGTAAACAATCTCTAAAATTTCCAATTTTATGTATTTCTAGAAATATTAACTTTTACTGCTATTAATAGAAAAAACTGAGAAAACATAGTATCATACACCTATTGTACTACAAATCTTGCTCCTTTGGGCTACAGAGCCATTCCAGAGAACAAAGAACTTAATTTCCCCCTCTTCAACAATTTTTTTTGGGGGGTCTGGTCGTAGGCCCTGAACTCTGGGCCTGGGCGCTGTCCCTCAGCTCTTCAGCTCAAGGCTAGCGCTCTACCACTTGAGCAATAGTGCCACTTCCAGCTTTTTTCTTTTTGCTTATGTCGTGCTGGGGAATTGAACCCAGGGCCTTAGACATGCAAGGCAAGCGCTCTACCACTGAGCCACCTTCCCAGCCCTCAACAAATATTTTTGATGTCTCTACTGTAGGCTAGATATTGACAGTGGCTGAGGCAGACAGTCCCTACTTATAGTTGACAGTTTAGAAAGGCAACAGATAGATACTTTTTATTTTTAATCACATCTGATTCTTTTCATATCTGTAATCCTAGCTACTCAGGAGGCTGAGGCTTGGAAGATCATGGTTCAAAGCCAGCCTAAGTAGAAAAGTCCACAAAACTCTATCTCCAATTAACTAGCAAAATGTCAGACTGGAGGTATGGCTCAACTAGTAGAGTACCAGCCATGAGCAAGGACCAGTGGCTTGGTACATGGAGAAAGCCTTGATTCACTTTCCTCAACTTAACAAGCCAGTAGAAGTCTGTGGCTGCCTGACTGACACACAGTATGATCATGTCACACGAACAGCCAACACCAAACTAGGAGGCTCTTATAAAACAGCACCTTCCCAGCTAATTGGTAGCATGCATTTGATATCTAGGAACAGCTCCATTTTCAAACTCCCACAGTGTCTGAGCTGAAAGCCAGTGGCCATATGTTTTCACTTTGTGCTATGCTCTGGGCTGCTCATTTAACTGTGCAACCAATGCTAAGGACCATTAGCACTTCAAAGACAATTTGTTCTTTTTCAGCCACTTACACTAAGGGGAAAAAAAAGTATAGCTAAGACCGATTTGTTTCTCACAGCAGGTTCTATCAAATTATATTACAAATCCTATCTGTAATTATTCTACACGATTCCTTCGAGTGGAACAAACCTTTATGGATATAATAATCCCTATTCACAAAATATAAAAGTTTAATTAGACACTATTTAATCTACAGGTAGGATTGCCCACAAGCTCTTTATGCAGACCACACACGTTTCTAAGCCAGCATCACACAGAGAAAGTGCAGCCAATATAACTCATAGTACAAGCCCACGCACTGTATTCTATAAAATACTTGGAGCAAGCCACAGAGTTAGGTGTAAAATAAGGCCATGGGTTTGAAGTAAGAACCTCTCAACAGTGGAAGTACTTTTTAGATAATCAGATAGGTAAAAGACACAGAGAAATCCACCAGGGTAGTGAAAGAACACCAGTGCATGCTCCATTTGCTTCATGAAGACATCCATGTAAGTCACTGGTGTTTATACTCACGCTGTTACAGTCAATGTAACCCACCATTGGGAGAGAGTTCCAACAAGTGATCTTCTTAAATGGACTTCTGCCAGCTACTGTGGTCTTCTGCCCAATAACAAAGATGTGGCCAAGTGGTGTTTCTTAAATCTTTTTATAAGTCATTTTGTATCTTGCTATATAGAACTGTGGTAGCCAGTTTCCAAGATAGGCTTTGCTGATCTACACTACCTGGTGTTCACCCTGCACCTCCCTCTCACATCATAGCAGGACAAATCCATGTAACTAGCAAAGCAGAACTGAAGAGAATCACAGCAGAAGTGAGCACAGCACATCTCACCTTGAGATCAGGTTGTAACAGATCCTGTCACTTCTCCTCACAATTACTTATGCTCTCCCTCTTGATTTCTTGGATCACGTGTCTGGTGGAAGCTATCAATACTGTCTTGATGGCCCCAAGGCCTTGGAGACGAGGGACTGACACCTCCAGCCAACAGCCATAAGGGCTAGGCTTCAAAATAAGTCTTCTAGCTCATTTAGTTCTGTAGCTAGCTACAGCCATGCCTGATGGTAGATCCTCACCCCGTGTCTAATGATCAGTTAAGCAACACAAGGATCCATGACCTCCTGGCATGATAATTTTTTAAATTTGAATTGCTAAATCTGGAGATAATTTAGTCAGCAGAAATAGATAATTAATGTGGGTATTCAACTGAAACAAAAAAAAATCAAGAGGCCTTACCTATATTCCTTGAATAGTACATGCTGAGAGTTTTTATTTCACTCAGTTTTCTAAATGTCTGAACTTCAAGTAAGTATGATTACAATAGGTCCCAGAAAAACCCAAAAGGTATTAATAATAAATATTTAAAATTGTATGTACACATATATTCAGAGAGAAAGCAGAGTGTCTTGCTGATAACAAATTACAACCATGTCTATTATTTCAATTGATCCTTACAAATTAACCAACTGTAGAACAAAGATTAAAATTCTCACTTTCTTGAGTTTGAAATGGTGCTACAAGAAAAAAAGCTATCTACATGTGTGAAAATGAGACCAGGCAAGTAGATGAGACTCGTTTGCGAAGTGAGGAGGATGGAAAATGATAAAAAGGTGATTATTAACAACAACAATTGTATACACAGACTTGTTAACTAAACATCTTTGTAGATCTGACTGATGCCAATAAAAAATGAAAATGAATTTTTTTTAAAGCAGTTACGGCCAAAGAGCAAAAACGAATGTAACTGAAGCCTGCCCTCATGCCTACTGATTCCTAATGCTCTTCCCTCTGTACCACCTTTGTTATATTTCCCAGATGGAGTCTAGCATAGAAATTGTGTAATCTAGTATACATTCAAATGTGTGTTTTTGTTATATGGGAATAAATTAGCTAATATGTGTATCTAACTAAAAGATAGAAATGTCAAGAAAACTTACCACAAGCGTACCTTATTTGTTCATCTAACACATGTGATTTTGACCAGGAGCAGTCAAAAACATAATAAATAAGCCCAGCTCTGGTGGCTTATGCTTATAATCCTAGCTACTGGGGAAGCCAAGGATCAAGATTCAAAGCCAGCCCAGACAGGAAAGTCTGTAAGACCCTTTTATCCCCAATTAACCACCAAAAAGCATCTTCAGGTGGATTTTAATGCAATCATGACCACAACAAATTGGCCATGGGACATTTCCTATCCATAGGTAGAAAGCCCCTGGTAAGCACTAGAGGAAAATAGGTACCTAGTGTCAAGGTTGTGAGTGCTTTATTGGTTAAAGGCCCCCAAAACTAATGTTTTCAGCTTAAACCTCTCTTTAACAATCCAGACCTGGTTGGTTGGCTCTGTCTCAACATGGCTAAGCTATAGCACTAACTTTTTGACTCAACATTAGCCTAAATGTGGTGATGAAAAGTATTTCTTACACATGCTAACATTTAAATCAGTAGACTTCCGTTTACCTTTCATTGTGTGGTAATCTTCGTTCAGTCA